CCACTGAACAAAAAGTCTTCTGGTTGACAGTTGCCAACCTAGTCCTGGCTGACTGGAGTAAATGTTCGCCAGAGGACCTGAATGTATGGGGCACATTATATGCGAGGAAGTGATCCTGTAGGTAACTTCTTATGATATTTTCCAATGAGTCATGACATCTTGTGATGTGTGCAAAATGCAACAGCCTCAGTCTATGCTTCACTTGCTCTCAGACCAAGTTTTGTTTTTTTGGTGGTCCATGGTATCCACCAAATTCTCCTACAGCATCACATGTCACATAAGTTGATCTTCTTTTGTCAATTTCGTTCACTGTCCAGTATTCACAACCATAAACAGAAATCAGAAATTCTATGGCATATATCATGCTGGCTTTAGGACAGTGGACTCCCCATATTATTCACTGGTAGTGATGTGCTCATACTGAAATATGTGTATTTATGTCATTGCCAGTGATAACAATAGGCAGAGCAATCCTTGGGCAGTCAAATTAGTGGATCCAAAGTCAGTCACTGTATTGTATTAAATTCAAGCCAAAATTGTTGAAGCCAAAACCCAATTTGATCTTTTGTGAACAAAGAAGCCCTTTGCCAATCGCTCCTATAAAAGAGAAGAAAAGGGAACACAGCCAGTTTGACCACAGCCATCTAAAATACTGTGGAAGACTTCTTAATAATTGAAAAAAATATAGGATTTCCATGCAATAGTCCCCACATACCCACGTAGCCCCAAAATTGGGAGCAATAGCATTTTCATTTATATAACACTTCATACCACACTAAGCAGTCTCTAAGCAGTTTACAACTGTAAGGTAATTGCCCCCAACAAGTGGGTACTCATTTTAGTGACCTCAGAAGAATGCTAGGCAGAGTCACTCCTGAGCCCCTGGCTGGTACTGAACTCACAACCTTGAGGTTTGTGAGTGAGTGGCTGCAATACCAGCATTTAACCACTGCACCATCAGGGAGGAAGGCTGAGGGTTGGTGTCTGCAATAGCACATTTGCCATGGAAAGTAAAAATGTGGAAATGTGTGTATGTGGGGGGGGGGGAGTTCAGTTAAAAAATTACCTGTATAAAGGCTGATGCTGTTAGTCAAATTTGAGCATAAGTATATCTTGTGTTATCTTTTGACAGAATGGGGTTTGCATATAACAATTACTGCATTTCAAGGATGCTCTTCCAAAGATATACTCAAAAACCTTGTTTATGAAAAATATGGCTTGACAGATCAAATTCTGAACAAGAAATGAACAGGCAGCTGAACTTAAGGAAGCACAAGTAACAGCCTAGTGTCTCACTTATAGAAAAGCATAAGATGTGAAACCCAAAAGTAGGGATGCAAAAAACTCTGTTTTGTTTTTACTGAATGCCAGCTTCACTTTCTTTGCATCTGTATTTCATAATTGATTATGAGATTTTGTGCTTTCTCAGTATAGTGAAATTCATTCTACTTTCAATGAAATTTTCCCAATTTGTGAGTTAATTTGCTTGAGTTACCTGGCTTTACAGAACTTTCCTTCATTGATTCAAATTTATTTTTGTATTTTTATACAATTATGCACACTTTAGCCATTCATATTTAAAAATATAGGCATTGTTTTGTGTTGTCCTTACTACCTGGAAATGTTGCAAATGTCAAGATGAACTGTAGTTTCCTACAAGTCTCAGGAGGTTTAAAGAATGCTACTTTGGGTGAGACTGCCCAATGAAACTTCTTTCTATCTCTCTAAAAATACCCCTCCCCTACAGTTCTCAAGAAATGGTCTCACTCCTTCATCCACAGTTGGAAGAAGTATTTTTATAAGAGAAACAAGGTGGATATTGCTTAGGTCTGCTGAACATGAGGTACCTCTTTACATCAAAGTTAGTCCATCTGGCACAGCACTGTACAGAGCTTGGGAAAGTTATTTTTTGGACCACAACTCCCAATTACCAGCCAACATGGACACTTTCCAGCCCCAGCCTCCACCAACATGGAAAGGTGCAGTCTAAAAAAGTAATTTTTTCAAGCTTTGAAGACTCTGCAGGGACTTGGTAGAAGGTACTTCCCACCCCTGGCAGCTGAGATCTTTTTTTTCCTGGAGATGTCAGTGACTGATTCAAACAAAGCAAATGTCCCACCACTGAGCTGTAGCTTGTCAATAGCCAATTCTGGTTTTTGTACTTCAACAGCCAAACTGCAAGAGGTAGAATGAATGGGTGAGCCTTACACAAGACATCACCATCAGCCTTTGGCGAGTGGTGGAGTGTGTCTGGTGGAAAGGGAACTTTAATATCTAAAGGAGCTGACTTTTAGTATCTTAGTGAGGTGACCCAGCTTTCCAAACACACCTGGTCCTTTAGCTTTGCACATCCTTAGGGACTTTTGCAAAGGAGTCAGTGAAACCATTCTCTCTCACTTCACACCACTTCCCTCTCCCAATACCAGAAGGAACACACAAAATATTTATTAAGCTCATAACTTTCCAAGGCATACACATTCACAAATCTCTGGGAAAGCTTTGTGAATGCATTTTTGACTATAGTGCTTAGGAACCAGTGTGGCATAGTGGTTTGAGTCCTGGATTGTATCTCTGGAGACCAAGGTTCAATTCCTAGCTCAGCTATGAAACCCACTGGGTGACCTTGGGCAAACCTCCTCTGAACAAATCTTGCCAAGAAAACCCCATGATAGGTTTGCCTTATGGTTGCCCTAAGTCAGAAATTACTTGAAGGCACACAACAACAAACAAAAGGACATCTTCCCAGAGAATGGCACAGCTGGGCACCTGCTGAAGCCCATTATGAAGAGCTATTTTTCCTTGCTAGCCTTCCTCCTGCTCACTATTGTCAACCATTAGCTTGTTTCCTCTCTCCATGCCAGCAAGAGGCGATAGCAACTACAGGACATTTTTTTTCTGGCAGGTAAATGGCTAATAGAAAGAGTGAGGAGGAGGAACACGTGGTAACCATCGGAGTGAGGAAGAAGATAGCCCAGGGAGTCCTGATGCTGGTGCCTACCTCTTTCTGTTCTACCTAAGACTGGCTATATCCACCACCCCATGGATTACTCATCAGCTTCACTTTCTTGCTCAACCATGATGGTCACTACTATCCAACATTTAGTATTCAATTCCCCTACAATATGCTTTGCACTAACCAAAATATGCTTGGATTTTTTTTTATCTCAATGTAGTGATAACTATTTATATGGGATGCCTGTTAGGATTCTCCTTTTCCATTTGTTGGTTTGCATAATTAGAATCCTTGATATTAAAATCTTACCTGATGGAAAAAAATTAATCTTTTTCATTATCTAAAGGTCAAGAACCTGTCTTATAATCTATTTTAAAAATGAAGAGATGAAAAACTCTATGGATTGTTAGGATCATAATAATCTTATACTGGTCATGGTCCTCAGAACCACTAAGCTGCTTCTGTGATTCTGAAGGCATCTATTTGCTACGACAATTTTCCTACAACATAAAAAGCCACTCTCTGAGGTTTGGCAAGGTTGTCAAGTCGTGTCCGACCGTAGGGGATGGTGCTCATCTCTGTTACTAAGCTGAGGAGCCAGCGTTGTCAAAGACTACTCTGTGATCATGTGGCCAGCATGATTGTACAGAATGCTGTTTACCTTCTCACCGAAGTAGTACGTAATTATCTATTTGCATTTGCATACTTTAGAACTGCTAGGTTGGCAGAAGCTGGGACTAGTAATGGGTGCTCACCCCATCATGCAGCATCTGGGTTTCGAACTGCTAACCTGACGATCTTGCAATCAACAGAGTCAGCGTCTTATCCACTTGAGCCACCGTGCGTAGGTTTGGGAGAAGGGACTAAATGCCCTAAAGGCACCACATCTCATCTGATCTTGGAAGCTGAGCAGCTCTGGGTAGTATTTGGATAGGACACCACCAACAAATACTGAGTGTTGTAGACTATATTTCAGAGGAAGGAAATGGCAAAACCACCTTTGAGTATTCCTTGCCGATGAAATTCATGGGGCTGCCATAAGTCAAAAGGGGACTTGAAGGCACATACACAATCACAAGATTGGGACACTTGCAATGCAGCATCTGAGAGTTTGGGGACATGTTTAATAAGAAAATGTGCTGCATGTGGCCCACAGTCTTTCACTGACCTCTGGATTGTAGATAAAAGTTGAAGAGTACAAGCAAATAGTTCAAAGAAGGTAACATCTGTGTTGGTGAGTGAGCCATAGCAGAACACAAAAAATAACAACTTGTTCCTGAAATAATAAGATGACTTGTGGGAACTCCCGATTATTTTTATTTTCATTTTGGCTAAATTAAACCTGGCTAGAAAAGGTTTTCTTGGGATACCAAGCAAGTATCTGAACCTACTGACCTATCTTAAGGATATAATAATTCTGGATTGGAGGATCTTTTATGCCAAGGCCTTGGACTGGGCAGTTCATGATAACCACAATGGTTATCTGACTAAATTGGTGACTTGATTGTTGGGAAGGAATTCTGCATGTATCTTGAGTTCCCAGTTTTCTTTACACACACAAAAGCTGCTTTATATAAATCAATTAGGGTAAAGGATACATCTCTAAGTTTAGATGCAATTACCACTGTATTTTAGGATAAGCAGAATAAATTTGTGGTGTAATGTAATGTGGAATTTATTAATGCTTAGACTATAGGATATTTACATACAAAATAAATAAAAACAATACAAAAGTGAAACAATATAAAAGTTCAGCATGAAATAAATAGCATATAGGTCTTGATTTAAAAAAAATCATTACAATTAAAACAATGAATATAAACAACAATACTATTAGATTAGTTTAGTTAGATTAGATGAGCATCCTCAGCGCAATCAACTGCAATATCAATGACAAATCTTTCCTGAATTATTGCCAGGGCAAGTTACCATAAAGTCAGTATCAGAAAGGAGATAGAAAATCTTTTCTAGAACAGTATTAGAATGTAGGTGAAATAGAATGGATCCCAAAAATTTAATCCTTGGCTTAGAATATAAGAAACAAAAGAACAAATAATGAGGCAAATCTATCTGCCATTGATCATAGCTATAGGCATGGTTTGAAAGCAAAGGGCTGTAAAATCCTGCCTAAGTTTTGGGAATATAAGCTTTGCCAATTAAACAGCCATTTCATGGTCAAAATTGTATAGCTGCTATAAGAGTTATTAATGCCCTGTCTGTCCAGTTAAGCACTATAGTAAAAAATGTATTCACAAAGCTTCTCTTCTGAATTCAAGATAGAAAAATTGTCAAGCAGAGTAGGATACAATTGAAGCAACTTGTGATATCTTGAACTCCAAACTTTGCAGTTTGATAACTGTTCAAAACATAACTTGGGGGAAACCTTGACTGAGGAATCTTTTAAAATTTTTGAGTAGTTAAATAAAATAAAATGAATGCAAGATCTAATGGAAGGAAAAACAACCTTTGCCTGAACCAGAACTACAAAAATGCCAGGTGGAAGTGGAAGTATCAACAGTTTCTTGAAATATGTATACTGAAGGGCTGCTAGTCTAGCCGTCTGAGAGTTATGCCACCCCCAGATAGCAGTGCTTCACAAAATATGGGCAATGACTTTGCTGTTTTTCAGCAAAGGACTGGAACAACCAAGTGATCCTCGACAATGTTGTAAAATCTAAGAACTGCTCCAACAGATCTTGAAGCCACTGCTCTAGCAGCTTCTATGATGCTTCCAGGAGGTTTTCAGTAAAATGAATGCTAAGGTACTTAAATTTCTGACATTGTTCAATCTGGTGATTACTGGTAGACCATCAAAAATTAGGATGTCTTTTTCTACACAGTATCACCTTTGTTTTAGTATTGTTAACATTCAGTTTTCCTTTAGAACATACCCTAAGCAGCCTTCTTATACTATGCAAATCAAAATCTTATCATAAGTATATAAAAGAATAGAAACTTTTTTTTTACCTAACTGGGAAAAAATTCTGGGCCAGACAAGGCAATGTATTCTAGGATAGCTTGCTCAAATGAGTGGAAATTTTGAGACCCATTTAGCCAGTGTCAATTAGCTAACTGATAGCCAGCACAGTGCAGTGGTTTGTGAGTTGGACTAAGACTCTAGAAGACCAGAGTTTGAATCATTGCTCAGTCATGGAAACACACAGGGTCACCTTGGGCAAGTCACACTCTTTAAACCTAATAGGAAGGCAATGGCAAATCTCCTCCAAATATATCTTCTCAAGAAAACCCTATAATAGGGTCTCTAGAAGTCGGAGTTGACCTGAAGGCACATAAAAGCAACAAAGAACCCACACATATGCCTCATGAACTTCAAACACAATAGGTGCAGACAGCATAGCATTCAGCCATTCATTTTAAGAAGGTCACAAGCCACATTAGGGCAACCTTTCTGGAACAAAGAGGATACTGTACTTTGAACAAAGACCTACGGTCATGCCAACAAAATATATGTGCACAAAAGCCATCATCTGCTATATTAGAGTGAAGAAAGTGTGCATAAAGGAATGAATGAATGTATTCATTAAAATATTTATTATCTCATCTTATATCATGAGATTTTAGGGTGGCACACAAAAAGAATCAGTATAAACACATTAAATCAATTTAAATTTATAAAAATAATTGAATAGACTAAAACATATTAAACATGGTAATAAAGTAAAACAGTTTTAAAAGGTTTAAACAGTTTAAAACCACATGTATATACATTTTAGAGTTACGTAATCAATAAACAGCCAAGTCTTTACTTGGCACCTAAATGGAACCAGCGTTGATGCCTATCAGGCTTCCAAGAGGAGGACATTTCTTGACTGGGGTGCCACAACTGAGAAGTCTCTCTCCTATCTTCAAACAGTGTTTTGGGTTCACTCTTGGAACACAGAGGAGTCCCCTCAGTAGACCTCAGTCCTCAAGCAGGCTTAGATAGATGTCAAATTGTTTAATATTAAGCCTTTCCAGTCCTAAACCATTTAGTAGTATATGGGCACAATTATATGTCCATAGTTCTTTCCCTTGCCCAGAACTTATTCCAACACAGAGGGAGATATGGAGATGGCAGGGTGACATATCATTAGAATGAGAGAGGCTTAATATCTGTCTTATCTTCTAGTCATTCTGCTATCCTCGGGAACTTGGGGGAATGAATGAAGTCACCCACAAAACCTGTGTAATGCCAGGTCAGTTTAAAATAAAGTACATGCAATCTATTATCTCCTTACAGATAGTTGAGGAAGCTGGCCTGGAATGCTTTACAGAGACTAGGCTGTGAGATGATAGTGGCCCAACATGGGCTCAGGCTCTCCCAGCAAGGTACTGTGTTAGCAAGCAGTTGAGGGAAAATGGATGTATTGTGATGGTGCCATGGCTAAAGTCTACAAAGACCATCTTAACCTAACCAGATTACCTATTAGGGAGCTGAACCACATTCAGTGTATATACTTCATCCTGAAGACCAGGGACAGACAGGAAATTCTTCTAGAATACCATCAACCCCATTGTCTATCAGACTCCCTGGTTGAGCTCAGAAAACTAGTCTTGGAGTTGGAGTCACACAGACTATTGATCTTGGGCAACTTAAACATTCCATTTATGGCCAGTCTATCAAGTACAGCTGAGGAGTTCATGACTTCCA